TTAACTCGCCGAGAGAGGTATTTTTCTCAGGAGGCGCACGATACACAGCTGAAACGAGCTGGGAAGGAGAGACTGAGAGAAGACCTTGCACGTAGCTTATATATATTGTACTAGTCGCGGTAATGGCCGATGCAGCTTCGAGTTTGCGTCGATACGGTAATAGGACGGAGGGTATACAAGGGGGTAGTAGGGAAAAAAGAGCAGTGCCATTGGCTGTGGTGATGGTTTTCTCTCTTTCTTTTACTCGATTACGCGGACCCTGTTTTTCTTCCCACAGGTCGTCGGATTATGGGCATGCCATAGGCCTCGTGTCGTTGTACGCAACTGCTTTTTCTTTTCCCTTTAAATGCCGTTTTGTTTCTCAGCTCTCGTGGAAATAAAGTGCAAAATTACTGCGATCGATCGTATAACGATCGGGGTATTTCTTTTCTACCATCGAGTCAATGGAAGGAGCTCTCTTTTCATCATTAATTTACTTACAAAAAAAAAAAAAAAAAAAAAAAAAAAAAAAAAAAAAAAGAATTCAATTGACATTTCCTCTTTGCCTCGCGCATACCCAGTAAAATGGGTCAAAATACCAAGTCCAGCTACTCCGCTTTGCTGGTTAAATTCTTTTGTTGTTGTTTTTTTCCCCCTCTAAAACACAAAGTCCCAGCCGTATGTAGCAAAGAGAGAGAGAGAGAGAGAGAGCGCGTGTAATCCCATACACCATAACGAAGCCCATAATTCGCAGCGAAACGTCGCGTCCGCCGTCACGGAGCACTAGAGGAGAAGCCAAGGGAGTGAAAGAACATCAGCAGCACAACGAGAAGACAAAAGATTGTTCCAGCAGCAGAGGGGCATCACCGCAGCGGCGCGCATTCCTGCCGCGTGGATAGTATAGCATATGCTACCTATACGTGTATAACAAATGTGTATAAATACAAGAGCGAGGATGCCGCCAATTAAAAGCGGCTGCGCTTCTTTTACGCATCAGCGGGAATTATATGCGCGAGCCAGTCCCCCCGTGTATGTGCGTGGGGGTATATTCTATGCTCTCCTCTCACCTGCATATACATGTACTGTTCTTCTGTACTTTACCGAGGGGAGGAAGCCCTTCGTTTATATAAGTACTTACGTGCTTTTGCACTACGTGGACTAATGCACCTTGCGGGGAGGTGTACTTATAATAGTCGCGAGGAGCGAGTCTTTTATGTGTTTAGACCAAAGGTGACTATATAATCTGCAGCTACTCTACATATCTCTATCGGTTGTTGGGCAAGTGACAAAAGGTCAAGAGACTCTTTTCGGAAATTAGCTTGCACGAAAAAGTGATTTGCAATGGAAAAAAAAAAGAGAGAGAGAGATATCGTTTATTCGGTGTATAGACTAATAGAGCTCATTACACGCGTGCGTGCTTCGTTAAAGTGTTACGTGCAATACCTGTATATAAAGTATATAAATCGGTATGGTTACCTTCCTGCTTGAGTATATAAAACCCTTCGGTTGCGATAATGACAATCATAAAACGACGAAATTGATCTGTAATACCTATGTGTACTGAGAACGAATAAGTTTTATTTGTATAAATCTAAGGTATATAAAAAGAAAACTGATCTGCCGAAAACACCCAACTGTAGCTTGCAAAACTGTAAGTATACCGAACTTACTTACGCAACGGCCGTCGTAAAATATAAGGTATCCGTGAACTCGTGCACGGCTATACTATAAGCTTGAAAAAAAAAGCCTCAACGTACAGTACCGATCATCGTGTGCGAAATCGTTGAGAGCAAAAGTAAAGGTCCAAGTGATTAAACACCTCTCTCGCGATAATTGCGTATGTACGGAAGGCAGCGATTTTTTTTTTCGCCGCAAATTTACCGAACGCGAGGTGACTGTGCAAATCGATTGAATTCCGGGGCGCGTTCATATGGGCGCGGATTTATATACGAGCCGTGAAACATGAATGGGCCGTTTGGGCGACCCCGAGGAGAAAAACATTATGGATCGCTGATGGAGGGATATTAAAAAGAGCAGCAGCTGCAAGATGTTGTCATCGCACGCGCCATGTGGGTTTTTAAACCACCTTCTCTCTTTTTTTTTTTTTTATTTCAAGGAATGCAGAAGCTATAAATCAAATTTTTTCTTTTTTTTCATTTCAAATCCAGAGGAAAGAGACGTGATCTCTTTAAATTTTCGCAGTACAAAAAAAAAGAGCGTGTTACGGATTTCAATTTTCGATTAGATATTCATAAGGTAGGCGCAAGAAAATACTTTTGCTCGTAAATCAATCGCGATATCGCTTTTTGCACGTATACCTATACAAGTATACATAAACATAGGCTCAGAAATCTAGATTGAACTTTTCAATATCCTTGAAATGATTTATAGGCGCGCTGCGTAATAACGAGCACACTTTGAAATTAATCAAGCCGCGCTGTAATGGAAAAAGAAAAAAAAAATGAAACAATATTTTCGTTGCACCGTCGTTTGTTCGTTTGTTCGTTTGACGAGCAACCAAATGACGGAAGTAACAAGAAAACGGCCACGCGACGACGGAACGGTATATTTATAGTGCGTCGAACTCTTTTTCCTTGGGTGTATACATACCTAAGTATATATGTACAAACAGCTTAAAGCTCGTTAACGTCTCGACGCGAGACGACGCTAATCCACGAGGGGGTGTGGGCCTAAGGGAGTGAGTGAGTTGGCGAGAAACCGATCGAAGTCCGTTTAATTCAATAATGTGTATCACAATACCATGTACACACGCACTTTTCGCCCTGCACGTCGCTCGCCTCTACATGTATATATTATTTGCCAGCTGCAATTTTAGGTTTTGTATACGCAGACTTGTTATTTTTTCCCCTCTTCAGGGATTTAAACGGGAAAAAAACGTGTTACGTATACCAACACCCGCGACCTTTTGACGAATGTATAACGTGTAACTGTATAATTAGTTTCGCAAAGTAATTTGAAACTCGAGTACTTTTTGTGCTTCGAAACAAAAAAAGGGAACGGGAAAAAAAAAAAAAAAAGATTGTTCGCAATTAACTCGAGAGCACACTAAACTTACGTGTACAGGTATAGTTCCTCAAATCCATTAAACATCATTTTTCTCACAAGTGTACATACGTGTAAAAAAGCCTCTTCCGCGACGGCGCGAGTGTTGGTTTCTCCTTGAAAGGTTTCGGGCGAAAACAAAGAGTTGTTTCATGTATATGTTGTATATGTATAGCGAGAAAATAGGTAACGCTTGAGCCGATGAAATTCGTATTCGCGTATACCGTTTAATTAACTCCGGAGGAGGAGAGCTGAACGCCGATCAAGTGTTTCCCGAGGGAGGATGAAAGTGACGTTGCTCGAGAGACCGGCGATTTGTAACTTTCTAAATAATAATTAACCGTGTACGAAAATCTATGAGGGAAGAACAAAGGGTTTTTTTTTTTTTTTTCATTCACGGTATTCCTTTAAATCTTGCAAACAACACCCGTAGATAAAGAAAGATGTTTATTTGCATCTCAATACATTACAATGCGTCAACTCGAAGGAGAAAAAAAAACCTCCTCCAAAGAATACAAGCGTCAACAGCCAACAAAACGATGATGGATCGGTAAGAGATTGCTCCCCTTCAAGAGCGCCACCGAGCTGTTCGATGGAAGAAAGTTCGGTACTTTTTTTGTTTCTCGCGCAAGCACCGCTCCTTGTTAAACCGAGAGCTGCGAAGACTGATTTTCCTTGTAACCTCTGCGGATCGCCGATCTCGACACATCCGCTCATGAGCGCATGGAAAAAAAAAAAAAAAAAAAAAAAAGAGGCAAGCCTTCTCTGCCCGAGTGTGTTACAATAACACTCTGTAACGGGCGTCGCTCGATTTTAACGGCAGATAAGGCGCAAAGTGGAAAGCAATCCGTTCATACAGATACGCAACGTAAAATCGCTGATACAACCGATCCAACACCGTAATAGAGTCACGCGTGTAGTCGGCGACCCAGAAATCTTCGTCTGCTCGTGCTCTCTGGAAATTACTCGTCAGCCGAACTGCAACGCGACCACTATGTATACACGTACACGGACCTCGCAAATCATTATACCAGCGGTGTGTAACGGGTTGTTACAGAAGCAGTAAAAAAGAAAGAAAAAAAAGTTGCGGAGACTGCAGTTGCGTGATGAATGGCCCCTTTATTCGCGATCACTGCCGCGCGGGGAACAAAAAAAAGAGTGTATCCATCTGTACTGTGCGGAGTATACCGATCGCACGACTTAAACTCTCGTTCGAATGAAAAAAATAAAAAAACAAAAGCTTGCTACCACGCGCGCGTACAATGAACTGCAGCCCTGCCCCTGTTGGCGGGGCGCACCTACATCCCCCTCGTCTCTCTACAATATGGTGTGGCTTGAGCGTTGTGTGCATGGTTGGACTGTTTTTTTTTAACTTTTTTTTCCTTCTCTTCCGTCAGGACGCGTGCGCGAGCTTAATTCGTATCGAATTTCAAAGAGGCGTGGTAGGTACATCGGTATATACGCTATATAACGAGGCCTAGCCTCCCTCCTTACAACTGACGTGTGCTCCTGCGCTAAGTGGGTTTTGATGACACGCAGGAATGCGCGCCGAGTCGTCGGACAATCAATGGGCGCATCAGCTTCCTCCTTTTTTTTTTTTTTTTTTTTTAATGTCATCCAAATTAAGTAGTCAGAGACTCTTTTTATCTTAGGTATACATAATTGTTGCACGCCTATACATCTTCCTCTGTATTTATACATGTATTGTATCCATTTTATGAACATAAGAAGACAAATTGGTGTGATTATACCATAATCATCATACTTTCGATTTAATCGTAAGAAGATTTCGGGCATATTATATACTCGACTGGCTGACCGCGACGTTGTTGCGAATAATCATCCAATGGCCAAATTGGTGTCATAAATCTAACAATAAGAAACAAAGGGGTTTTTTTTTTTTTTTTTTTATCCTCAATCCCACTCACGCGCATTTGTTAAATTTTTTGTCCAAGCAGGCGGAGCGCGACAAGCTGGAGGACATGCGCCAGCAGTTGGAGAAGCGGCTGGAGGGTTGCGAGGCCGAGCTCAAGGACAAGGAGGAGGAGCTGTTCCTGCAGCTGGAGCGCAACTTGCGCCTCGAGGACGAGGTCGAGCGCGCGAGGCAGGAGCGCGAGGCGTGTCTGGTGGCCCGCCGGTGCCTGGAGCGCGAGCAGGAGACCGTCATGCGCCAACTGCAGATACAGTCGGCGGAGAACGAGATCACAAGGCGCAACCTCGAAAGGGCGAGGCAGGACGTCGTCAGGCAGGCCACTTTCATTAAGGACGAGAGGGACGCCCTGGAGCGCGAGGTCGGTTTTTTTTTTTTTTTTTCACGACTACTTTGAAAATATTTTAGGGAATTACATTTCGATTCCTGATCTATACGATATTAGCTTATACACCGAGGGAGAAAAAAATAATAAAAATTACTGTGCTATAGAATGGTAATCTGGTAGTGTTCGGTCGTGTCTAGAGACTTTTTACTGTTTGAACAATAATTTTTTATGTTTAGGACAGAGTAGTTTTTCTTGTAAGTACAGATGGTTTTTACCGTTTGTACAATAGAAATTACTGTCTAGCAGTGAAATGGTAAAAATTAGGTTGGCCAAAGTAAAAAGTCCCTAGACGGCAGAATACCATTTTAGCACAGTAATTTTCTTTTTTTTTTTAATTTTTTTTTTCTCAAAGTGTATCTATAGGCACTTCATCCAAGCAAACCACGTACCGTAAAAATAAAATATCGTGTCACAATCCTTACTGTGTATGAGCTGTGCATGCATTTTATCATGACATTGTAAGGATTACTAAAAAAAAAAAAAAAAATTCATTTTGATGATGTTTACTTTTGTTGTTGACTCTTATCGAATAGAGTCTCAATACCGATCTCGAGTCTTGATTCGTAATCTAGTGCACGTCCTTCGTAAGTAGGTACATTTAGATGTCCCACAACGATACACACTCGTCCCTAATTTTAAAGTCAGTTTTCCAAACTCTTGCATTCGTTCAATTACCCGGCACTGTTTTCCATCGCCGTTTATAACGCTCGTTCACCAGAAATCGGATAAAAACCGGCGCAGCCTCTTCGTTTCCAGAAAGAGCCCGCGAAACCGTTCCGGGAGGCTGTCGCTGTGTATACGCTCCCCCACGACCGGTTGACACGCGATCTTTCCGGCCGATGCACTTGCGGTTCGGTCGCCCTTCGCGCGCTGGAGAAAGCCGAGCTCCGAGAAAACCGCTTTTCCCCTCCCGCCGTTTATTTCCCGCACGTACCACCTCCGTCACGGAAGATCAGCCGTGGCAGCCTCAAGTGGAGATCAATGGCTTTTTTTTTTTTTAAATCCATTCCAATTCAGTACTCCGTACCAACTATATAGATACAATGTTGTTTACAGAACGAGCTGCTGAAGGAGAAGCTGCGAGCGGAACAGGACGAGCTGAGCGAGGAGCGCCGGCGTAACGAGGAGGGCTTCGCGGCCCTGGCGCACGAGGCCTCGGTCCTGAGGCACGCCGCGCGCCACCTGAGAGCCGCGGCCCTTCACGCGACCTCGTGCCGACGCCGTAGACGCTGCTCCGTCTGCCTCTACGCCAAGCGCACCTTCCAGGACGTCGATGACTTCCGCGAGGAGTACGTATATATATATATTTTTGTCTTCCGTTAATGGCCCTTACGTATATGGTATAATAATCGTGGCGTTTGGGGATTTTTCAGCGGTAAATTGTTCAAGTGCCTTCAAGCGCCGCTGCAGGACCTGCGCACGTGGCTGAGACCGGGAACGCCTACGAGCACGGGCGCGCTGCCGCCATTGCGCGCGAGCTCGCCCTTGGAGCCGAGCAGTGCCATCAGCTACATCGACGATTCGGCCACTAGCTCCGAGGACGAGGCTTACCTGGCCCCGGCCGCCGAAGCCTCGCTCTCCTCGAACGCCTCGAGCGCCCAGCCCAACGCCACGACCACCAGGGCCTTCTCCTCGGACTCGGGGTGCGTATAGCCTATACTGAGCTAGTTTTTCCCTTCGGTGCGATTGGAGTTTTAAGAGATAATGAAACGATGCTTGTTGCAGCTTCTCGTCGGAGACCGGTGACCGGCGCTCGCGCTCTTACGAGTGCGGTGGCAGCAGCCGGAAGATCAGCGAGTCCTCGGGCAGTAGCGAGCAGGGCGACGTTTCCGCGGGCCATCAGCGCTCCGGTGGCTTCTCGCGATCGTCCAGGTGGACCGCGTCGTTCCGGCGGCTCCTGGGCCGCAAGTCCAAGGCCAAAGCCGGCAACAACAGTCCACAGGCCACGTCGTAAGTCGTATATGTTGTCGTTGGAGTTCTTATATATTATATACGAAAGTGCTCAAATGAATGCGAGGGAGAGAGCGCGCGTGTGTGTGTTGCGTTGTATTTTTACAGAGAGGCGCGCTATCGAGAAAGAGAAAAAGAGTTTTTTAACGTAAGAGGGGTTGGGACGAAAGTGGCAGCTCCGCGCGGGATGATCTGTATGTGTCGGGCTCTGTGTCGATGGACGTGATTACTTAACTATACGTGTAAGTGAATGGACATTTCTTGCTTCTTTGGATAAACTATACTTTTAGGCTTAGGGGTTTTTCTTTTTTTTTTTTCTTTACTTTTCTCCATTTTCCGCTTGTGATAAGGCGATTCTCGTTTGATCATTATTTTAGTTTGAAACTAAATCTCTATATTTTGAAATAGGTTTTTTGGACGTTTTTGTACATCGTGCGGTAGAGTTGTAGTTAACTTTTTGATTGTAAATCCGTGTACAAAAATCATTTTTATTAGTACAACCTAGTGAGTGTAAAGGTTACATTTTTTTTTCTTAAGTAGACGTGGGGACTTTGTTTTTCAACGAGTCTTATTTGCCAGGTGCAAACATTTATATTTTTTAATAATATTAAGATACCGTGAACAATTGGAGAAATATGCCAAAACTATTTGTCAGCATTGAATATTTCGTGTAACGTAGGAACGATGTATTTCTAAATCGTAAAATAGAATTTGAAAATATATTTATGCCGAGTGTATCGAGTGTAAAAATAATACTCAACTGTCGTAAGGGAGTGTCTCGTACGAAAGTATTAGTAAAATTCAATGTGACAAAAAAATTTACTCTTGTTTCCTCTCGCCCCGAGTTGCTACTTTCGTCGTTGCTTACGTATATGTTTTTGAATGAAAAGAATGGAAATTTATTCGCGCTATTGGAAAAAAACCGTTTATTGAAAAATGTAATTTGAAAATAACATTCCTGATGTATAATTTAACTACTAAAAAGAGAAAAAAAGCCATAGATGGGCGACTGATTCTTAAATGAAAAATTCTGTATTCATAGTTTCATTTTCATCTTAGTCTAATGCAATGAGTATCGATTTAAAGTAACTGTGATAAGAAGAATAGATGGTGTGCCGAAAAAAATTATGCACTAAGATTTTAAGGAAATTAATTGTCTTTGCGACAATTGGTTGTCAGGATAATAAGTATGATGATACTGTATATGTGGCAAATTAAAAACAGATCAAGTGACAAAGTATTTTGCATTTGAAAAATGATGGCAAGTGAGAGATTGCCAATGAAATCGTCCATTTTTTCTGATGAGTGCAAACGAATTGATCGATTCCGAATACTTGTATAGTAAAAAAAAAAATTTTACAAGATTGTGTCTATCTCTTCCATTGATGCTTTGATTTTCGTTGCTGAACGAACCTCGCACAGATCATTTTTCGGTAATTTTTTGAAAATCAAAAAGTCTCGAGACTTTTTTAATGATACTTGGTAATTCCAAACGTAACTGCCAACTAATTACATGGGTTTAATGATTGCAATGCTAAATAGTTCCATAAATGATGCTTAAATCGGAAGCAGCTAACTATAATTACGGGAATTGGAAAAAAATGTAATTTTTTCTAGAGAACTTTGAGTCTTGCGTAATTCCGTAAGAAGACTGCTGTATTGTTATTATGTTAGTACTTAAACTTCAATTAAAATCATGTAAGCTAATGTGCAAATTTTTATTGTCATCTTGAGAGAAATAAGTTGTAGCAAGAATTGTTTCTTTTCATTCCTGGTCTTGTGGAAGCTATGCATTTATTACTTCAACGAAAAGCAAACACGCTATAAATAAAAGAAATTGATCTTTTTCAAAAGATGGCGATATTGTAAATAACAACTTGGTCAGGAATTTTCAAACTATGAGCTTTCAAAACTACAACAATTGTAGTTTACCCGTTAATTAATTCACAATTATCGTAATAAAAGTGATAAGGAATCACATAAGCCTTGAACAGCAAAGATTCCAATCAATTAATCAATTATTGAATCCTGTGCCTTAGTGCGAATATTTGTTAATGATTTTCTCACAGTGGAATCAAGTCAGAATTTCAAACCTTCATCAAAAAATTTAAAAGCACTCAATTAAATTTTTATGATTAGTTATTATCATTGAGACGAATAAAATTTATTTTTACCAATTAAAAAATTTTCGATTCAAATCTTTATATTTTAAAATGAATTTGCTGGAATCATATTCATCTTGCATTGCTCAATTCAAAATTCGATTGTTACAACTATAAATTTTAGAAAAATTTTACTGTATCAGTAGTTGAATCAATTGGTAACGATAATTTTGTTTTGTATTAAATTATTTTGATACATTTATGTACGAATTTACATAAGAACTTTAATCAATCAAAAACAAAACAATTCTTAAAGCCTACTTTCGTAAGAATTGAAAATTATTGTCATGTTGATCTTAAAATTCGATATATTTATTACATGTTAATTCTTAAAAAATGTAAATATTTCTTTGAAGGGATTATCTTACACAACAATGCTGTGTAAAATAATATAAAATGTCAATGTTCAAAATTTATGAAGGTAATCAACTATTTCGGATAGAATTGCATTCTATAATTATGTTTATCGTCATTTGAAAGATTTTTGTCCATGTCGACTCTTTGCTGTTTAATAATTTTGAAGAAAAAAAATCATAGAATAAAAATAGGGTGCGCAAGATTATCACACACTCCAATTTGAGCATTAATTAAAACTTTGATCGAGAACAATTAGATTAAACTTTAGCAATAATACTGAGAGTATCACCACAGCTAATTAATATTAAAAGGAAAAAAAACGAAGTTTGTGTCGCGAGAAACTTGCGAATGTATATTAGAATGTATGGTTTTTCCGCAATACGTACGAAGTAAGTTTATTTTAGTTAATAAGTTTAGCTTGTAACAAACGCATTTGTTTCTCTTCCGTTCATCTCTTTTTTTTTTTCAATATATTTATAAGATTTTTAAGATTTTTTTTTTCCTACTATGACTACGTACGAAACACGAGTCTGACAATATTTTAATATTAAATTTTTTTTTTTTTTTGCGATGACAATGTGTCACGACAAAGAAATGCAAACTAAAAAAGACAAAGGAGTTTAAAAAAGGAGAACAAAGAGAAAGAGACGAATGATAATAGAATTAGTAAGGATAAGGAAATCAGAGGTACTTGTGTCCTTTAGTTACGGAGCAAGAACGGGAACGAGCCACGTCTCTCTGCCTCCTCGTTAATGAACGAGGTTGATAAAGAGGATAGTTGCCGATATTGTTTTGTATTCAATGGACCTCGCAACTATCGAAAATTTATGCTTAGAAATGTATAAGAGGATATTAATACAAGTATCATTGTTTGCTAATTTTCTTTCTTTTTGCTGACAAGTATGAAACACCGGCCGTGACTAATTCTATTGTTAAATCGATTCACTTTTGGTGTATTCCTTTTTGATTCAGAGAAACAATATTTAAATATTATTTTTAAAAAAAAAGTTTATACTATTTTAGATCCTTAGTTTTGTTACATTCCCAACGATCAATGGAACCTTGTAGAACAATGATTCTTTTTTTTTTTTTTTTTTTTTTTTTTTTTCCAGTCAAACCCACAGAAATTATATTTTAACGTATTATTGCTATTATGAAAAACTTATTCTTATACTGATAAAATCAGCCAAAAGTAAAAACGAGTTTTTTTTTATAGAAGCAATTATTTCACTTATTATTAAGTTTTAAATTCAATATTACGCTAGAGATTTCACAGCTGTTGAATTTTTGCAAAATCGTATTTATAGTTTGTTCAAAGGCAATCATCTTCTACATTTCTAATACAGTTTAAATCTTCGATGGTTGTAACAGATTGAAGCAAGAAATGTAATGTTACGTCTGTGCATGTATATCGCAGAAACAAAATATACTCAATGTTGCTATTGCGTAAGAGTGGTACTGTTGTACAGATTAATTGTAACAGAGTTTGCGAAAGAACGAAAGGTGACCCATGGCATTTTAGCGAGTATATTATGAAACAAAAAATAAAATTATCATTATTATAAATATCATTTCGTATGAATTCATTTATCTTCGCATACTCAATATGTCCCGAAATTAAATCATGTACAAATAAACTTCCATCGGGAACTCTGATCACATTTCGATTAAAAACTAAATTATTTAATATGGGTACTTTAACTGCACACCACAAAATTTTCGGCAATCTTTCTTTGATAATAAGTTGGCTACTTTGTTAACTGGTGGTAAGTCAAAAAAAAAATTTTTTTTTAAACCATTCCAAAGTCTTTGTAATTGTGATAAAAGCTTGTGGATTATTTTTCATACGTAAGCTGAAAAGATACACTATGCAGAACCAAGCGCAAATAGTATTTCTTTGAATTACCGACGCTCGATGGGATGCCGAAGATACTGCCTGCCTGCACCTCCTTCCAACGCCCGGACGGTAGAGCGCGCTTGCACCTCCTTCAAAGGGTTTAGACTCCGAAACTCCGGAACTTCATCTACTTACGCAAACAGGAATTTCAACGAGCATTACAATGATACGCATTGCAAGAAAAGTAACAAACGACTCGTATGATGTTGAATTCTCGATACCTGCATTTAAGAAATGGGGTACACTTATTTCATCGCTAAAAAAGATTCACAGAGTGGACCAGGAAGCCCCTCTCGCTCCGGACTATTTTTCTTGGCGCTTCTAATTTGAAACCAGAACAACTCGGACATCCACCCACACTCACATTAGGCCATCAAGCAAGCAGCTGTGGAGGCGACGAGAGCGAGAGAGTGGGAGGCTAGTATACATATACATACACCTGCAAAAGAAGAAAAGAGAGAGAGAAAGCGAGCTCCGTTTTTCTCTCCTCTTCTGCGCGCGCGCTGGTTCTCTCTCTCTCTCTTGATTATCGTCGTCGCCTCCGTTTTGGGTTCAACGCCAGCAGCCAGTCTTCAGTCTGGCCTGGCAGCCGTCGCAGAGTGCCAGTGTCGTCCAGGTCTCAGTCTTAAACAAAACATATTTTTTTACTCTCTCTCTCTCTTCTCCCTGGAACTTTTCTTCCTTTCCCCTTTCTTTGGCTGCATCCGCGCCTCCGTCATCTCTCTCGGGACCCGGGGAACGCGTGCCAAGACTATGTGTATGTGTGTACATTTGTGTCTACGGTGACTGCTGCTGCTGCTCCTTTCTTCTCTCTACACCGTATACCAACCCTATGTACATGCCGTCGACGATTGTGTCACTCCGAGACTCCGTATATATATATAACTACACCAGCAGCTGAAGGAGAGAATGAACAACTTACACGCCGTGTCCGACACCTCCGCTTGCATTTACGTATGTACACACACGACCAGCCTGTCTGCATGTGAAAACGCGACACCTCATGACTGTGTAATGAATAAACGACGACGAGCGCGGGCGTGTAAACAAGTAGTAGCTATATACTTTATACCCACAAATTATTATCTCTGCTCCGAAACTCCGAAAACTCCACGTTACTGTGCGCGCGAGAGATACGGAACCCTATAACACCTAGTGCACGGTACCTATATATATACACACACATCGAGAAGGAGCACCGTATAATACTCTTTCTCGCAGCATCCGTGGGTCCCTTGCTTATAGCTGCAGTATAACGCCACTCGCAACACCGTGTGTATAGTATGTAGGTGCAGTTCTTATCATTGCAGCGCTCGGTAAGAGAAAGAGAAGGGAAAAAACAAACAACAACAGTGCGTAGCAGACGAGGGAATAAAAAACGGAGCAGCCTATGTGTATATATAAATACACGCGATGTCGACTGCTTTACTTATAAATCACATGTACTTATACCCATTTATAAATATGTATATATATTAAGTATACCGTCGTTTCGGAGTTGTGAGTTGAGGGAGAGAGATGGATGGATAGAGTTGAGAAAGCACGGATATTCGTGTTCTTCGTCATCTTGTGGAGTTCGAGTGCGTATTATCATCTTTTTCTACGCGTGTACGGGGGAGGAGACTATATTATACAGTACCTATACAGATATGTTGTATACATATATATATATATATATAGTGCTTCATGCCACCAAGAGTATATTGGTGTACTGTTCCTTGTATGCCTACACCCCTCACTTACTTGCCGATACTGTGAGCGCCGATGCCTTGAAATTTCTTGCAACATTGCCTATACCTATATATTTATGGATACTTGTGCGGCTGTATCTAAATAAAAAAAAAATAATAATGCGAGTCCCACGCGATGTGCATAATAATATAATCTTGTATGGTCTCGTGGGTGATGGGTGCGTTGAGCTTGTGTGCGCAGAGGGTGTGGGCGGGTGTGCGTGCGCGCGGCAGACAGACAACTCTTTTTTTTTTTTTTTTTTTTTTTTTTTTTCACCCACAGGATGCTGCTGGGCTTCGTCGTTTACGATGATCGGGTCTCGCGCGCCTGTATAAATATATACGCTGCGGTGCAATTACCTGTTTTCCCTTGTTATTTTCCTTACCTTCGATCTTCACGGTAATTATTATTCGCTCTCTACGGATATTTTTTTCTGATCTTCCCTCCCTTGCGTTTCTTGCAAACGCGAAATTGAAATGAAGAATCATGTCATCCTTTCTGCGCGTGTAAGTAATATTGGTGATTTTATTGAAATCAAAGAGCTCCTGATTTTTTCGAACAAGTTAAAAAAATAGCTTGTCAAATAAAACATAGCGTCATCCATACGAATGTGTACTTGAGTTGTTGAGATAAAAAAAAAAATCAGAGTTTCGGAGTCTGTCATTTTTTATAAATATATACACGTGCATCTAAAATTACACGATTAATCGAAAATATACACCGAAATTTTGATTAATTCCTACGAATGTGCTTTGAAAAGAACAAAACACCGCATCGATCGGTCGTACATAAAATTGTTCGCTTAATTTGCAGCACATGTCGAACACATTGTACACACTGCACGAGGAGGATGTAATATGCCGCGTACAAATCTCGAAATTTAAAATTCCAAGTAAGCTCGGAATGTATAAATTTTTCATGGAGTCGTAGTCGCACAATAGAATTTTCGCTTTGCCGAGCGGTGGATTATTTTGTTTCGAATACCGTACGACTAGAGCACAGTGTGAAGAAAACCACGTGTCAAATTCCCACAGTCCACGTGTTCCATATACACTCACGTCCATACATGTACCACACACAGAGTTACACACACGACAGAGTCAGAGTCGCGTATACAATTGAAATAGGATCGAGAGGAAATCCAAGACCACACGGACTCGCACACGTTTCAATAACGACAAAATATCTCGGTTAGTGGGATATTGAGTTTTCGCTTAGTTAATCACGATGCAGGGCACGCCATCAGACCTTCCCTGCAACTGTGTATGTTAATGGTATATTGCACGCGTCACTTGCATAAATTAGGATATGACGCCAATGTGTATCATAATACCTATCATACGCCACATGGAAAACGAAGCAGTCGTGATTCGCACACACATGTGTGGTATAACACCCGTGGCTCGTGAATAATAATAATAATAATAGCCCCAACATTTTTAACAATGAAATCGGAAAGTAGGCATATACTGCACAATGGTCACGGATGTAATTATGCAAATATACGTATAGTGCCAAGTGATTTCACAAGAGCATCTTATATACTCTCGGCGCCGACAAATGATTTTCTTGTTGTTAACTCAAAGTACAAAAATGTTAATCTCTCTCCACAATACCGTACCTCTCGTATAATGATTCGACTAGATTTTACAAGTATACCCCATGAAATTCAAGTTGGCCAGTGACGAAAATAATCTCGGGTGTGCAACGATTGACGACAAGCGCGACGCACAATACACACAATAGACAGGCAAAGAAAGAGAAATGCGCGTTATGCAGATTGTTTGTGGGAGCGGTTGTCGCGCGCGGGGCATTGGGAGCTATATAGTATACATGGGTTCACGGTCGATAATTGCCTTTTTTTTTTTTTTTTTTTCTCCAGCTCCGCGTCGCCCCATCACGCGTGCCCATAGTGCCATTTTCTCCCCAAACAATGGATACTTGCTTTTTCTTTCTCTCTACCCGTTGAATTTTTCGTGCGCCGTTTCCACCTGTACTTGTAGAAGGTGTTGGCGCGCGTTTTCACCTCTGGCATCTCATCTGGATCAAGGCTCGTATACGTGTATCCACTTGTGCAGTGATTTCTAATGCGGATTTTTCCCTCCTTCTCTGCCCTGTCGCTCGATAGAAACGAAGAAAGGTGTTTATCTTCATTGCGGAATGGCCTTTTTTTTCGAGATCAGCGACAGTTGCTTATTACACGCAAAGTATCGTTTGGCAACATATGCCTACACTTGGTAAAAGTGTGTCGTCGATAGAAAGTACAAGTTTTGGCATTGACCGAGTGGTATACATACGCTTGTGTATTATATACTTAGCACGCGTTTTCAATACGAAATCAATGGCTAGAAATCTATTTTTATCAGCATCGATGGATTGCACAATAAGATATATACCTATTTACAATTGTATCGATGACGATGCACGTTGATCCGTCGGTTAACGCCCACTTTTTTTCCCCCATGAATCGTAAATTCAAAAAAATGGCCCGACCTACGGCAAAACCTTGAACACATCTTTTCGCAAACGCGTGAATTTTCAGCACAAAGGGTATGACTCGAGTGTATATACATAGACGGGAAAAGGACCCCCCAGCGCGTCGTTTTTCACCGTAATATCCGGTCCCCGGAGTGAAATTTTCGTTGCATTTTCCAAAGGTGCCAACGACCACTAACACCTTATGTACCGAGTAACCATCCACTCGCATCTCTCTGTTACTTTAATGAAGATTTATTTTAAACTCATCCCATCAGTGGACGCGCCGATCAAGACAAATCATCCCCAAAAAAGTTCATTAGGAAAATAAAAGCCTACGATACATAAATAGGTACGGAGCAATGGGTAAACATGATATAGAAATACCTGCATAGACCCTCGTTTGCAGCTCGACTATCCGTCCGGGCCTTGATTTACGAGCCGGTGCCGAGCCTTATTTGCAGAGTTGCCGCGCTTTCTCCCTCTCGGTCCTTCAGGTGCGCGTGGACGTAGATTTTGAAATATTCGCCGTATATGGCGGGGGGGGGGGCACTAAAACTCGGACGCAGATGTTGTGCGTGTGTGGTTTTTCATTTTTTGTAAATTTAGTGTCGGTGGTACAGTATATCGATACTTCGAGGGTTGGTAAATACATGAAGATGATGGAATAACTTTGTGTAATTTTTTTTATATGGTCATTTTTTAATTGGTTTATTTGTTCGAAATGTTTACGTGGATCAATCTTGTTTTTGAACTAAGGTTTTCATTCCGACAAATTCGATAATTGGCCCTTGCCCTCGATGCTAAACATCGTTTTAATAATACGATATCGATCCAATGCCCCTTGAGTACGAAGCACGTGTATTTTACACCCAACGACAATTTTATATTTCAACTCGGGGTAAAGCTAGTGAGCACGGAAACACTTGCTCCTCGAAACAACACCCGCACACGCGACTTCTCGTGCGACGAGCCCCTGAATTTTTCTTCCTACTTCCCTATATGCATGTGTATACTTGTTGTATGGGCGTTTTCTCTCTTATCATCCGCACCAACTCGTGCTCCGTTGCTACAATACACACACGCGAATTGTTTTACGAGAGATGCTCTGAATTTACGGTACGGCTTGCGTGTATATTTTTTATATGAGGACACACTTTTGAAGAAGAGGGCAAAATACACTGTGCTCTTTCGTTTATTCCATTGTTTTCCGTTCAAGGGGTTGATTTCAAAGTTCTCAAAGGCAAACGTGCACGAAGATTTACATGACAAATCAATTTCAATCTTATATATTTCGATTTACAACTTTTCGACGTTATAACATTATGCTTTGCATAAAAATGAAAACTCGGTAAGAAGTGGTATTAACACATCATTCATTGTTCACTTTGGCTATCTGGGGTTCGCGTTGGCAATTTTCCGGTACAAACAGCATTGCACACGCTCGGCCTTGCCTCTGGAAAAAAAAAAAAAAAAAAAAAAAAATATGATAGTCAGTACAGATGTAGCTGAAGCTATAGCCGCTGGACTTAGCCGCTAGACTATATGGAATGGTCCGTAAAAAAATACTTTTCAAGATTTCATTTAAAAGGCTTAAATACGCGCTCGGCATTTCAATTAGTGCTTCCACTCGTTATAGAAGTGGTTAAAGTACATCACAGTAATTGTAACATACAAATACTTAACAAAAGAGCAGCTAACACAAATTTAATAAACAATATTACAATATGAAATTGGCGGACATGCAT